TACGATTTCGTTCCTCAATGTTACGATTTCGTTCCTCATTGTAGTTACCGCCTATCTATCAAAGGGCGACCATAGAGGTAAATGAAAAAAATTGGAAAGATAGGCAAACTCAGAATGGAGTTCATTCATTAATATGTCGTTATCTGCTATTCAGTACGACATAAAGTTGTAGAAGAAGGAAATTATATTACTGGTAAAGTACTTTTCCACAAGCAGTGACACCTTTATCTTGAGTATTATATCGTCTGACACTTTGTAGCGTTCATCAGCATATTACTGTGGTAGTAGTGGGGTCCTTTAGCTCCGACAGTTTGTATTTGTTATTTATGTATGTATGTATGTATGTATGTATGTATGTATGTATGTATGTATGTATGTATGTATGTATGTATGTATGTATGTATGTATGTATGTATGTATGTATGTATGTATGTATGTATATATGTATGTATGTATGTATGTATGTGAACCGCTCCGGTGGCCTAGTGGTTAGAGCGTCCGCCTCGGATGCGGGAGGTCGTGGGTTCGATCCCCGGTAGAGTCATACCAAAGACTTACAAAAATGGTACTAACAGCTTCCTCGCTTGTCTGTGGCATGATTCCCCAGTGCTAGACATCACTATAAACTGCCACACTGCAGACATCGTAGCAATATGACTGAAAATTTGTTAAAGCTACGTTAACAATCATAATCACATCACATCACATGTTTGTATGCATGTATGCATGTATGTATTGTTACGTATATATAAGTTAATTACTTGTGTGTTAGTTTTAAATTCTGTTGTTTTTTATTTCATTACATGTTATTGCAATGATAATATTATTACCGAGATTTGACCTATTTTCCCGGAAAATTCAGTACTCTGTTTCGACCTGATAAACAACGGAATTTGATTGTTACATTTTATTTTTATCTGATCTTTGTTTAAAGTTTGGTAAACACGGTGAAAACCATTGGTCGTAATTAAGGTCATACCGTTGTTTTAGAACCTATCTTTGTTTTAAAACCTACCGTTGTTTTAGAAACCTACCGTTGTTTTAAAACCTAACATTTTTTTAGAAACCGAACGTTGTTTTAAAACCTACCGTTGTTTTAGAACCTACCGTTGTTTTAAAACCTACCGCTGTTTTAAAACCTACCGTTGTTTTAAAACCTACCGTTGTTTTAGAAACTGTTCGACGTCCTTACACACTTTTCTTCCATCTTGTATTCGCCTTAGCAATCTTTCATAGCCCTGAGTGCCTATGAAATCTTCCTCCTACAAAAAAAAAAATATCTTTTCAAGGTAATTTATTAACATTATTTAACTGCTTTAAATCTCAATTTTTATTTCTAGGATAATAAAGAAAGATATTTTAACATGCAAAATTGACACATTTTTAATCCGCGTATATGCGTATGGATGTAATACGTAACTATTGATAGGCTGGGCAGTAAAAACTAATTATTATATATTCCATAACATTCTCATTTATCATGTTATTTAGATATTCTGATGAAAACTATGCTATTGAAAATTACATAAATAACGTATGTCCTGCGTTTTAATATAGATCTTTCTATCTTTGTTTCCATGGGCGCGGCCATATTCACATCACGTGAACGTCCTCCATTTAGGTACTGATTCATCTCTGGTTTGCCTTTGAGACGATTATTTCCTACGAGTTGATTTTGAATACCAGAGATAAGTGATGTTTGATAGTAAATCGGAAAAAAAGTAATTCCAACTTATAAACCATGGGCGCCCGTAGCATGGGTCAAGGGGGTCACACGACTCCCCCTTAACATCATAATGATATAAATTCCGACAAGTTTAATCACGCAGATGAAGCTGACAATATGTCACAAGATTCTGTTCAAAACGCTTAGTAAATACTAGCTTTAGTTTCAGACTGCTGCTTATACTAACTCTTCCGGCCGTGACAGACTGCCCCTTCCCCTGAAAAAGTCCTGACTTCCCCTGCACAATATCCTGATCCCCCCTTGCAAAAACTCCTGCGGACACCCATGTTACACAATGATCATAAAGTTAACAAAATATAATCCCTGAGCAATCCCGATACGTCTTCTTCCCAGTTATTCCTATTTTAGTGGACCAGATCGAATCTGGTCCTTATATTTTAGACATTAAAAAAATCGAATCACTTATCGATCATAAAGGCATATTTTGTATTAAAAAAATTAAACAAAATGATGAAACTTTATATCAGATAATGCGAAATGCCTAATAGTATTGACACCTGCTCCAGATTTTGCAATCATCAGTCAGTTACGGTATTTCAGATAAAGCGCACATAACACCACGTAACACCTTAAACGTGCAAATGATGCAGTTTTAGATGACTTGACAAAAAAACACTTTAAAGTATTTTAGAATTCCCTTCACCCAAATTACTGCCCAACTAATATCTTGGTGCAGTGAGTGGAAGAAAGGAGATAGTGACTTAGATAGGCGATTATAGGACTGAATGTCAAAGGACATGACGTCACAATTTTTATATTTACAGTTATGGAACAGGTGTATAATAAAAGTCAGAGATTAAATTGTCGCAATTATTTTAATTGGAATTATGAATAATAGGTCAACAAGTCACAATCTGACTTATGCTATTTTTCAAGTCTTCTTAATGCACGAATTAGAACCATGATTTATTAGTCATATTAAAAGTAGTACTCGTACATACGATTTTACCTGCTAAATTCTTGTCCAAAACCACCCCTTCCTGAGTACATTATAATTTAATGACGAGAGACAAGATATTTGTTCGTATCTTGTATATCCTGTAAGCTTGTTTACTCGGTAATTAAAGAAACAAACCAGACGTCAATTGAAATAGTCTTATCAACATCATCCCTTCATGTAAAACACGCTTGTCTAAGAAGCAAACCAAAACTATCGATTGCTAAATTATTGTCAAAAACACTGCATTGTATCATGCTTGATTATTTAATTATCTAGATGTGAAATATTTGTATCAATTAAAATAGTGTGCGCTTAATTATAATCAATGACTAAAACGTGAATGGAATAAAGAATGAAGGAGATAGAATTAATCTTTTGTGTGCAGATATTACATGTAGATAAATCCAGTAAACACATGTAACAAAACAATGTTATATTTTATTGATTTATCCATCACAATTTATGTTCTTTGTTTTGAAATATCAGTATCACACCAAAAGTATTTAAATTAATGTATTCCTTTTAGATGCACACAACGAAACGTGAAACTCTTTATAGCACTAAGTTATTATAATTACAGAATCTCCAGAGAGGTGATCTCTCAATAAAGTACAAAGAGTAATACATAAAATTGATATATTTGTGCATTACAAATCTGCTTTTAAATGATACTCGGATCGTATTGTTTGTGACCTGAATTATTAAGTAATTTGAAATAAGTGTGTACGGTGAAAAGATCCAGAAAGTCAAACTTTGCATGCTCGGTAATCAGGCTTCGTCAGAGCCTTAATGGCCGACACTATTGCTGACACCGAACGGCTAGGAGGAGATAACTATGGAAGCGCTGTTTACAAGAAAGGTCTACAGTACGATACCGTTTGCTTGCAATGCGTGTAGTGTATATGAATATGAATAACTCAAGTGTTCTGATAAAAGCAGAGTCTGGCCTTTCAACCTTTGATTGGTGTTATGATGATATTTTCTGCGCAGGAAGGCAAGATAGGAACTAATATAATATCAGGGTACAAAATTTAGATATAAACAACTGCTTTAGGCAATGCGTTTAAATTTCTTTTTGAGATTGCAGACATAGCAGCTCTAAATTCGTATAAATAGAGTCACAGAGAACTATATCGTATATATATATGTCTCCATTCCATATAGATCGGACCAACATTTAAAACAAATCAATTTCGACAGTTCTGGATCACACCTGTGACACTGTCGCTTGGAACGACTTTTTTCTGCGACCTTGCTCTAAATATAGTTGGAGCACTTTTAAAACAAGCTTCATTTATCACAAACGCACGATTTTCAAATGATACGTATTCTTTATTAAAATGACAATACTGTCTTGTCTGATGACGTCACATGGGATATCCATTTGTTTCCTTTTATTGATCAGACATTACATATGTTATATTTCTTGCTTAGAAATCACAGTGTCAAATTGATTGAAACAAGAAGAAAAACCTAGATCAGGTAAAAGAGATTTACTTTGCATTTATCGGTTTTTTACTTTATTAGTGTTGGATCTATAATAAAGTTTCGCCCAGTTTTCAGTTGAATATTGCAGTTCATAATATAAGATATTAGACTTTCAAAACAATGACACTGCACTTTGGAAATATTAACGCCGCTCCGTTAAAAGGTCACACTAGTGTCTCTATCCACAAACAAGTCAGACATCTTTAAGGCAGACAGGACTTGATGTGAATCAGCTACATGTATGTAAATTTATACACTTGCACAAGGAAGTAAGTTTCTTTATTCCCTGGATATCTTATCATTTAAAAAATAAACACAGCGTGGAATGCGGCAAGACAAGAAAAACCTTGGTAAGTAGGATGTATAACACCAATTACATGGTCCGATGAAAGCAGCAAAGTAAGGTACATGAAATACTTTTTCGGTAGATGAACCATTTTGATTGCATATGACGTTCCAATTGCGAACGTTGCTCTGTTTTTATAGCTACAGTGGCGCTATCACTTTGGGAACTACTTTTTCTAAATTTAGAAATTTAGATTTAGAAAAAGTAGTTCCCAAAGTGATAGCGCCACTGTAGCTATAAAAACAGAGCAACGTTCGCAATTGGAACGTCATATGCAATCAAAATGGTTCATCTACCGAAAAAGTATTTCATGTACCTTACTTTGCTGCTTTCATCGGACCATGTAATTGGTGTTATACATCCTACTTACCAAGGTTTTTCTTGTCTTGCCGCATTCCACGCTGTGTTTATTTTTTAAATGATAAGATATCCAGGGAATAAAAAGTTTTGTTTTCTTTTTTCCTTATCTCTCTTTCTCCTTCTGGTGGCCTAGTGGTTATAGCGTCGGCCTGGGATGCGGGAAGTGGCAGGTTCCAACCCCGGCCGAGTCATACCAAAGACGTATAAAATGGTACCTACAGCTGCCTCGCAAAGGCCTTCAGCTTTAAGGGGTGAGATTTAGGACTGGTCGGCTTGGTGTCATAATAATGTGACTGGGAGAAACACGATAACACATGTCTGCGGCATGATGCCCCAGAGCTAGACATCACTATAAACTGTCACACTGAAGACATCGCAGCGACATGACTGAAAAATTGTTATAGCAACGTTAAAAATCCAAATCACACACACACACAAACACACACGCACACACAGTCTCTCTCTCTCTCTCTCTCTCTCTCTCTCTCTCTCTCTCTCTCTCTCTCTCTCTCTCTCTCTCTCTCTCTCTCTCTCTCTCTCTCTCTCTCTCTCTCTCTCAGTATGAACAGATCTTAAAATGTGTCAAAACTACTGACTTTCTAGTAGATGTTTATGTAATCAACCGGAAGGCGCTGTCAAGAATGGCTGAAAATGAACATCAAATAGCAAAAGATATGCCTCAAGTATTAACTTTTTATAATCAGTTTTACACATGAATCATACCTATAGTCAGCGACTGTACTGACATGACCTGTTGCTATTCGATATTCTGCGTCATTCGTACAGTGTATATTGTATGTCTATTATACAAAAGTACAAAATTGACACAATTTTAAGAAATACTCTAGATTCACTAAAATTGCTTAACAGTTAGGACAATCATAGTGATGTCTAATGCAGAAATCGGGAATTGATAGTGTCGATTGCAAACAGAATCAAGTGACAATCGAAAATTGGGTGAAACCTCTGCTAGCGCTATAGTTTTCAAGCTTGTCAAAACACAAATTCCAGCATGAATTCAGAAATAAACATAAATAGAAACTAAAATCTTTACAAATAAGCTAACAAGCTTTACAATCTGTTGTTTAACATTGTTATATTCTATGGCTATTGCACCTTTTTGAAAAGTTTTTTTTTCAGAGTTCCATGTCCCATTCCAGCAATATTCACTGTATCAATCAGGGCAAGAAATGTGTTAATGAAAATAAAAAATATTTTCATTTTAATATGAAAACAATCATTAATTTATAAAATACACAATTGGAAGTATTATATGTACATTGTAAATTTATAAAATGTCGATGTTCTAAAATTATTGTAAAATTACGGATCTTCTTTTTATCAATTTTGTAATGCAGCCATTATAATCGCAATGGTACATAGTGAAGAAACAAATAAGCGCCAAGCGAGGCAGCTGCCAGTACTATTTTAATAAGTCTGTCTCAACCAGGACCCGTGACCTCTTGCATTTGAGGTCGCCATCTGTATCACCGGAGCGGTAATTATAACAACAGCAGCAACAGCAGCAGCAGCAACAACAATCATCATCATCATCATCATCATCATCATCATCATCATCATCATCGTGAATATCCGTATCACCATTAATATAATACTATAATACATCAGCTACCAAAGTCTATCCAACGACGAAAAAGACCAAGTTCCAGTGTTCTCTTTCGTTCTATAATATCTGTACGCAGCAATTTGAATTAATCAATCAACGATTTTAATTAATCAATCGACGATTTTAATCACTCAGCTAACTTTATCATAGATGATAAATATGATAATTATGTGTTTGATAAATCCGTATTAAACTGATCCGTTAAGATTTATAATCCTAATTTTTACTGAAAAATACACAGATGGAGAGAACTATGTGCGTTTCTTCTGTGTCTATTTGTGTGAAAAACATCCTTTCTGACGTGTATCTGTCAATTTACTCTCCATTTGCTTACACCTGGCCTAATAGGTATGCAAAGCTGTACTGATGTCGTTGCAGGAAAAAGGAAAAATATATACCTGTAATTAAAGTAATAGAATATATACATATACGTTTGTTTAGTTATGCTTACCCAGAATGCTTCTACAAAGCGGGTGTGCCTGGTCATCGTGTCCGTTTTATCTGAGCCTCAGCTTGCAACAGAAAGTGTTTGAATGAAGTCGAATAAGTTTAACCCGATAAAATGGGGAAGTTATATTCGATATCATCCTTTTACATTGTACTACCGTAAACATGACTGTATAAGGATGTACTCATATACGTCAGCAGTTCTAATACAATACAGCTGTAAAGATTACAGTCTATTGTGTAAAAGGCATAGTGGACCTATGTTGCCCGTTAATCGCCTTGTGGACCTTGGATACCCATTTATCGCCTTATAACAGCGAAGGAATTAGATCAACACGGTTCCTGTGAAAATGATATAGTACAAATAATACACAAAATCGTTTGAAAACCGTGTTGAATTGCGAAGTCATTCATTCGTTATACAGAAAAGTTTACGCAGAAAGTAGCAAAACAAAAGACATTGACTCAAAGTCGAATTTATTTAAGTGGTGGGTCGCTTTAACCTACTAACAGGCGTAAGTAAAGAAACAAAGTATGCAAATGTGAACAGAAGAGTCCCTCTATAATAGGCAAACTTTGATAGTGTTCGAAAGACACATAATAACTGGCGACTATTGATGGTTCCAACAAAGTTGGAATTAAAACGGTCGTTTAAGAGAAAATGAAAAGAACTAGTGTTTCTTTGAATATGGGTATTGTATAGAATGCTAGTAAGCTACATTCTCTTATTTCATTGTATCCTTTATTTGAGCTTTGTCATTTATAGCATACTATTCCTTCTGTCCTGTACATCATGGCTTAGATGATATAGGGGGAAGGGGCTTGGGGCGGGGGTGGGGAAATCGCGATTTAACGTTGATGATTACTTTCGGATCTTGACCAGTTTTCAAGCTCGAATTTAGCATCCAAGTTTTTTTTATACTTTCCTCCATATTTGACATGGTGGATGTGCTGCCGAGTCCAAATGGGTTGTTTGAATACCGGTACACATGTTGGGGGAGCTGCAGTCGCAAAAAAATTACATTAGAGCGATTTCTGAGTATGGAGATGGGCATAGACCTCTATTCAGAGCTTAACGAGCACTACATGCTGCAGAAGACGTTTACCTTATAATATGGCAAAGAGATGCCATTAGAAAAAGATTCGGCTGTACATAATTTTTGCTTTATCATCCACGTGCAACTACAATTTTAATTTTACCGTGGTAAATGTATTTCCAGAAACCAATCACAGATTGTTTTGACGATTTGAAATAATTTGTGGCAAAATTTCCATATTAAGTAATTAATTTACATTCATTATAATATTTTCCGGGTGTAGGGGTGTGTTTGATGGGGATGAGAAATCTAAAGTAGCGTAATGTAAGCAACTGTTTGATAATTTATGCGTTTATATTGGATTTTGAGATTCATTTGCTGTTTACAGTAGCAATCGTCGCACAGTTTTGCAACAAAGCATCAACTTACAGAAAATAATGTGCTACCTTTTGTACGTTTTGTAATGGTGCCCAAATGTATGTATGTATGTATGTATGTATGTATGTATGTATGTATGTATGTATGTATGTATGTATGTATGTATGTATGTATGTATGTATGTATGTTGTTGTGCTTAACGCCATTTTTCAGCACACGATAGGCTATTCATGGCGGCCAGATTTAATGGTGGAGAAAGAAACCGGGAAATCACCGGAAAGAACCACCGACCCACGAGAAGCTACTGGCAAGCTTTCTCACATATCCACATTCGCCGAATCCTAGACTCGAACCCACGCAGATAGCGGTAAGATGGCAGTGACCCGTAACGGACAGCGCTTTAGACCACTCGGACACTCGGACACTCGGGGTATGTATGTATGTATGTATGTATGTATGTATGTATGTATGTATGTATGTATGTATGTATGTATGTATGTATGTATGTATGTATGCATGCATGCATGTATGCATGCAGTGACACGAAAATCGGAAAACGACAGTGTTAACAGTTTCCCAACATTTCCACCTAAATCAATGTCTTCCACAGTGGACAACGAATCACACACACACACACACACACACACACACACACACACAAACACAAACACATACACACACTAAAAGAAAGAAGGGAGTCGTTGTACAAAGGGATGAAAACGGTGGTTGATTACTTCTGTTATATTTGTTTTGTAGGTGGCTTTTGTAAGAGATGATAGGTCTTTCCCGGTTCGGCAGGGATTTCTGTCACCAAGAAGCAGAAAAATGAGAGTCTTATCGTCTTCATCAGCAAGTATATCTTTGAAAAGTTGACTTACGATCGCTTCGTGTTTTTCATTCAAATCTTCGTCTGGTTTTTGTATGAAATACTTTATATGATAAAAGTCTGTTTTGTTTTAGCGATGCAGCCACTTTTGTTCAATACAACAACAACACAGGACCACATAACGGCTGATTTATAACCATATTCACTAGTTCAAAGATTTTCTTTCAAGTTTGATTAGAACAGAAATGGTGGAAGGAGGCTGGAGCTGATACTCTGCCATTTGTCCCAATCCACCCCCACCAAAAAAATGAGCGTAAAACAATTAGAATATTTTTTTTACAGTTAGATGCTTTAAAGTATGGCCTGAGCAAGCGTTAAACGCAGATGCCTTCAAGGACATCCCCAACACCTGTTCTGCCATTTTTTTACATCCCTTTTAAACAATATTTCTGGATTCGACCCTGGTTCAAACAAATTACTATGTGTTTGTATTTGTGATGATGTCACTATCATAGCTGACAAGAAAACATTTACAGCTGTACCTTTTCTTACAACTTACGGTTTTAATATTGTTCTCTAATAATTTCTATTTACATTTTTAAAACTTAAACTTATTTGGCGTAGCCGTGTAGCTACAATTGTTATGACGTGCCGTTGGACCATAGATACTCCCCATCACCTTTCTTTATGATGTAAATAATTTTTCTTAGTTTTTCATAATGGCAATTATCCGGGATGCAATGCTTGAAGCCAATAATGCACTGCTACAGAATATAAGTGTCGTATTATTAAACAAATGTCACTGCAATGATGTAGATAAGTGAATCCCTTTTTAGGTCTCACCGGACAATTGTTTTGCCAAATTTTCATCCGATAA